TATATATATATATATATATATATATATATATATATATATATATATATATATATATATATATCAAACAAGTAGACAAGACAATAAAAAAAGGTAATTATTCACTTTAGGGGAAGATCCTCCGATGACCTTGACATATTTTATAGAGCTCACTCTCTCCACACATCAGGAATGTTCTAAATATATCATAAGAATATCTTGAAGATATCACATATCCCAAATATATCTTTAAGATATCCCTATGATATATTTTGAACACCTCTGCTGTGTGGGTCCTGAGTAACTTTCAAAAGGTTTTAACCGTCGCTCATTGTTTATTAAAAAGTTATTAATAAAAAAATTTCATTGATATCATGTAATTTTGCGACCCTGCATAAATTAATGTGCATATATGAATACGCATAATGCACGTATTTGCGCGGGGGAAGGACGGAACCTCCCGCACTCCCTCCCCAAAAAACTAATTCTAACCAAACCTATCTATTGAAATATGGTAAACCAAGATAACCAAGCGTGATTTAGCATATCAAGCAAACGAATGTACTGCATGTTCTGCTGAATGGTTGATATTTGGTTGCCATCATCGTAAGCAATGTGCTACCAAATTCAGCAACATAAGTAGTAATATACTACTGTGTCCAAAAAGTAAGGTGACATTGCATTTATTTCGAAAATTCTTTATTTATTCTTGCAAATCAATTTCGTCCCCTTCAAAGTAATCCCCCCCTGATATAATACACTTATTCCAACGGATTTTCCAATCTTCGAAACAGTTGTAATAATCGATTTCAGGAATGGCCTTTAGCTCCTTCTTCGCAGCGGCTAACTGTGTGACGATAATGCACCGTCACACACTGCGCTGATTATTCGTGATTTTTTAGCCAAAAACTCGACTAATATCGTTCCACAACCACCGTATTCACCTGATTTGGCTCCATGCGACTTCTGGCTCCGGGGACACCGTTTCGAGTCGATAGAAGAGATTCAAGCCGCTGCGAAGAAGGAGCTAAAGGCCATTCCTGAAATCGATTATTACAACTGTTTCGAAGATTGGAAAATCCGTTGGAATAAGTGTATTATATCAGGGGGGGATTACTTTGAAGGGGACGAAATTGATTTGCAAGAATAAATAAAGAATTTTCGAAATAAATGCAATGTCACCTTACTTTTTGGACACAGTAGTATGTAATCAGTTCATGAAATTTTTAAGAGCAAACGATCAGCAACGATAGTACGGGAGGTTGCAAACAACATGATGACAAGAACTGATGGCTTGTCCTTACGTCAATAGCATTTTAATGGCAACGTGATGAAAATAACAGAAATGGAATCTTTTCCATCGATTTGCTTTGTATTTGCTTTCAATCGTTGAAGTTCCTAAATTGCATGTTTTTGTCGACAAAATGTAAACGATAAGTAATTTTTATTTATTTACAACAATTTGTCAATAACAAACACACCGTGCACGAATTTAAAAAATAATTTTTTATTTG